TATCCTTATTGTTTGAAATCTAGCCCTTTTTTGGTCTTTTTGTTAAATTTTGGCTGATATGGTAGGTTAACTAACGAAAAAACTTATTTTTTTTTATTTTAATTATGTGGAAAATCCACTTAGTGCAACTTGATGACATGGCGAAATTTTTTTGTTTAATTTAATCTTAAAAATCATTTAATTACATAATTGCTATTATAAATATTTTAAAAATTATTTTGTGATTAAAAATACTTACTTTTAATTACTTATTTGCCCCCATCTTCTTCCCACTTTTGTCTTATCCTCTCTTGCCTCATCTTCTTCCCCCTTCTGTCTTATGCCGTTAGGTTCGTCACGAACCTGAATTCGTCACGATGATCCAATTCTTAGAATGATCAAATCAATAGTCAAAATTCAAACACGAAATCAAAATATTTCATACTTAGAATCAGTAGATGCAAGCTAAAATCTAATATAAAAACCAAGATACATAACAGAAGAGATTCAAATCTCCAACTACAATACTCAAAATCATTCTTAAGAATGATCTAATCATCACATGAAATTCAAAAGCTAATCATCACATGAAATTCAAAAGCTAAATCCACATCATTCATGTTCAGAGACAGTGAAAACGAAAAATGGAATACGAAATACAAAGTCCTAGCATTCAAACACAATCAATAGATTAAACCAGGAGCTGGGTTCATTGCGAACCCAACCTAGATCTTGGGTTTGTCACAAACCCAACCTAAATCCTTGATTCATTTTGCGAACCCAAGTGCTGGGTTAGCGTCACGAACCCACGCGAATCCAAGCATTGGGTTTGCATCACGAACCCACGCAAACCTAGGCGCTAGGTCTGTGATGCGAACACAGGCACTGGGTTCGTGACACAAACCCACGCGAACCTAGGTGTTGGGTTTCCCATCACGAACCCAAGTGTTGGGTTTCCCATCACGAACCCAAGCAAACCCAACGTGAACCCAAAGCTAGGTTTGCAAAGATCCTAGCGAGATCTAAAAGGGAAAAAAAAAAAAAAAAGATAGAGGAAGGAAGAAGATGGAGGCAAATAAGTAATTAAAAATATGTATTTTTAATCACAAAATAATCTTTAAAATATTTATAATGGCAATTTATGTAATTAAATGATTTTTAAAGCACTACAAGAATATCCACTTTTAGTGACTAAATTATTGATCATTAAATCTTTATTTTTCATCACAAATTATTATTAGTGACAAAATTTAAATCGTTAATAAAACCCTTGTCACTAATGCTCTTAGTGATAAATTAAGCACCTGTCATTGAAAATAATCTTATAGTGATAGAAAAAATTAACATTGTTAACAAGTT